CTCTTTTTAAAAAAAATTTATACCACTCACATACCATAAATCTTTTTAATATCTGTAGTTCAGAGTCAATCAGCCTAAGATGATCTATACATCACAGCCTGTAACAAGGATTTGATCTGTGACTCTGTAGAAGGTGGTAGAATATTTGTCACCATAAATAGCCATTTATCAAAAGAACATAAATTAAAAATAAAACCCTGCTTGCCTCATAAATGTGTGACTCATTTATGAAGGGAAGCTATCTTCATGATAGGATTTTTTCTTCTTCAGGCTAAAATACTGAGAGCCACATTTTACAATGGAGTTTGGTTCACAAGGGTATTTAAAATGTCAAAATAACTGGGGGTGGTTTTAGGCTATAAAGTGTCGTGTCTTTCTGAAGCCCGGACACTGAAGACACTGAATTTGACTTGCCGTCAGATGTACTGATCGCATGAATAAGGGGAATGTCTCACTTGGGATCCCGACTTTGATTCTTCTAAATCCCCGGAGCCAGAAGCAGGTGCCGAGTGGGCCCGACCGTCTGGGCTTCCATCTGCCTGGCCTGCAGCCTGCCGTTCCCCTGCCGGAAGGGGCTGAGTCTCTTCTCAGAAGGAGACCACTGTTCAGGCCCCTGGGCTGTGTGTCCCCGCTGCTCCTGGCCTGGACCCCACATTGGGTCCTTGGGGTGTCCACACGTTACAGCAGGGGGGAGGACAATGCAAAGAGGTAAGCAGTGTGTAAGGAGGGCCACGGAGGGGCATGTGCTTCTGTGTGCACGTGTCTGTGTGCACTTGTCTGTGTGTGCAAGTGTCTGTGCACGTGTCTGTGTGCACATCTCTGTGTGCACTTGTGTGTGTGTGCACGTGTCTGTGTGCACATCTCTGTGTGCACATGTCTGCATTTACTTCTGTGTGCATGAGTCTCTGTGCACGTGTCTGTGTGTGGATGCATTCTCTGTGCATGTTTCTATGTGCAAGTGTCTGCGTGTTCACATGTCTCTGTGTGTATGTGTCTGCGTGTACTTGCATGTGCTGTAAACATCTGTGGTTACACAGATGAGGGTTGCTCTCGAGTGGACCCCACTCACCTGGAGCAGCAGTGGAAGGAACGTGTGTTTGCATTCAAAGGACAAACTGAGTGATGTTTGCACAGACCTTATGGCAGGTCTTGCCACTCTGCTATGCCCTTTGGTCATCGAATTGCTCTTTCCTCCAGTTCCACACCCTGCATCTGTTTCTGTTTATTTGTGTCCCCGGGAATGTAAGGGCACAGAAGGTACCACGCCCCTGGAGAGGCCACGCTGTGGGGTGCCACAGGCTGGCTCAGGTCCCAGCTGCCCACTCAGGACCCGGGGCCCCTGGGACCTTGGTTTCCTCACACCTGAGACAACAGTGACCCTGACATCTGTCAAACAGTGAAGCCTAATAGCAAGCCGAGCTCATCCAAGCCTAGGATCCCTTCTCTGCCCAACTGCAGAGCTCAGGAAACCTCATGTGTCTTGTAAGGAGCGGGTGCATGGCCTTGTTCCCATTGTATGGTGTACATGTGTGCACTGTCCTCGTGGGAACGTGCCCGCATCGTCCTGGGTGACGTGGAGTGGGCAGGAGGGTCAAGGAACTCCATGTCAGAAACTGCATGTGACAAATGCCATGCACACAGGCGCCCCAGAACCCCTGACTCTCTAAATGCACGCGTGCAGGTGGCCGCCTAGCTCCTCCGCTCCAGCCTTGTCCCTCTGTGGGACCCGAACCCTCCTGAGATTCAGATCTCCTCTCCTCTGGAGGCTGCTCACTGGACCTCAGGAGCCACACTGTGGCCTGGCCACTGGGACACACGTCCTTGGCCGTCCGGCAGAACTGTCACCAGCTATTCCAGAGAAGGGTGGCCCAGGCCCTGTGTTCTGAGAAATTCCAATCGCCAACGGGTTGGACCAGCCCAGCAAGTTTACATCTGTTTACACAAAACATTTATCCCTGCAGAATATTCTGTCAGCTTTTCGAGAATACAAACATGACTGTCTTGCTGCAAAACCTTGCCTTTCCGGACCCACTAGGTGCTGATGATTAGAAATTCCCTCCCTCTCTCCCTCCACCCCTCCTTCCTTTCCTTTGCTTTGTGACGCTGAGTATCCGACCCAGGGCCTGCCTTCCACACACTATGCACGTGCTCGACCACCCAGCCGCGTTCCCGGCCCAATACAGATATCCCCCGTTTAACGACCAAGCTGTTTAATGACTATTCACTTAAGACCTGCGTGGGATTTGCGCTGCAGGAACGTGGGCAGCAGTGCGGCCTTCTGGTAGCCTCTTCTCCAGCACAGCACTGCAATTTTGCTGATCGTCCTGTACAGGGCAGTAAGTCCCCGGCTTACAAATGAGTTCCGTTCCGGGAGAACGTTGGTAAAGTAGGACTTGTTCGTAAGCCTGACAAAGCGAGTCTTATCACCTTGGACACAAATCTGCACCGTCTCTCGCTTTGCGCCCCCTAGCGGTCCCCCAAGCACTGCCTCCTGCGCTCCTGCTTGGACTCAGGGCACCGCGCTGCTGTCCACTGTGGCGCTGACCAGGGAGCACACAGCAGCGCCGCTGACAGGATCCCGCAGACGCGGAGCTACTTCCCCGATTTGTTCGCAATTCAAAGTCTGTTCATATCTGCAAAAGTTCGAGACTCAAATGTGCGCAAGTTGGGACTCACTGCGCTGTGGGTTTATGTTCTGTTATACGGTGCTCTGCGGCTCCTGAGTTACGCAGATAGAAGCAAGGCCAGCAAGCTGGAGTTTCCTTCGCCCTTTCTTTTCGTTGTTCTTTGTCCCGAGCACAGTAATGCGAACGCGCTGTACGAGTCCTCTTTAGCAACAGATTCACTTCACAACTGAGGTGCAGGCGCAGCCCGGTCCTTAAACGAGGAGGGGCCATAATCAAAAATTCTTAAGTCTGGACATTTTAGGATTTCTTTCTTTTTGCCTCAGCAATTATATCACAATTATATCACAACTAATTTTATTATTACTTTGGAATTCTTAAAGAATGTAGACAAATTGTAGCCAAAACACTGTGTATGTGTGTGTTTGGGTACATAAATAATCTTGTGTAGACTATATAAATTATATATAATTAAATTAGTTATAAATGAAAAAGTAAATTTTAAAGCGTACCTTTCATTTAAAAAATTAACTGATTGACAGAAGAGTAGGCAAGCAAAGACGAATTAAATTTAGAATCTGTCTGGCGTCATCTCTGCCTCTTCTTATTCACTGGGTCTGGCACCCTGCGACCCCCAGCTCCCCCCCCCCCCCCCCAAGTACAAAGGGAAGCATTTGGAATCCATCCAGGGCATCGAGGCTGCCAGGACAGCACAGTTACAGACACTCAGGAAAGAGGACCCTAGGGCTGCTGCAGGAAGTGGCCAGGACTCAGGGAGAAGGTGTCCAAATCGAGGTTGTGGTCTGAGAGGTTTGCAGCACTGTCTTTCCCGTAATACACTTTCCTAACTTGAACATTCATTGTGTTTCTCCGTCACATCACGCGTGCCTCCTTACCTGACGGGGAATCCGCAGCTGGGAGGGTGTTTGCAAACGCTTCAGACAGGATCGTCAGCACCGCCCCCTCGGAGAGCTGCTCCTTGCTGAGTCCCTCTCCCAGGAGGACCAGGCCCACCATGACCCCGTCCACTCTGGCAGCCACAGCAGAACGTTCTCTGCCATGTGCTCGAAGCGAAGCTGGGAGAGGAGAGAGAAGTGTCCTCCTCTGTCCCTCCTCCCCCCGGTGATGCTGGGAAACTGCACAGTGGGATGCAAGGAATTCTTTTTTTTTTCTTTCTTTTTGAAGACAGGGTCTCACTATGTAGCCCAGGCTGACCTTGAACTTGAGGGGATCCACCTGCCTCAGCCCCGTGAGTGCTGGGAATACAGGTGTGGGCCACTACACCCAGCCTAAGGAATTCTTTAAATTTCCCAAAAGGAGACACAGGAGATCTTTTCTTGTGATATCATCTCAACATTTAAAAATTTACCTCCTGAAAAGCATCTGGGCATTTGTCATGGGTCATGTTCCTAAAGGGGAGTTGTTGGGAGCAATGCTACATAATTCTAGGGATAAATCATCTGGTTAGCCTAGTTCTCTTGCCTACAGCCCAGCTACAGAGTAACTCCAGTTTGGCCTCCGGTCACAACTGAG